CCCCAAAACCCCAAAACCCCAAAACCCCAGTTTAGATTATAAAAATTGATATAAATTTAATGATTGAAATTGAGGAAGATGACTTTATAATGAATAATAGCAATAGTGCCAGTCAGGAGAGAGAAGTGCCAACTGAAGGAATGGAGGAAGAACTTGCAAGGATTCCTGATATAAAGATTAGGAATGGGTTCACCGAAAATGATGATGCTATTCATGATTTCTCACCTGTATTTTCTCAGATTGGAAATACTCCAGAAATTCCTAATATGCAAACAATGGATGCTACCAAAGAGAAAAGCGGAGAGAATAGGGATATATTATCTAAATTTAATAAGAAAAAAACCGAGCTTAGGAAAAAGTCTGGAAATCAAGTTAAACTCGAGAAAAAGGATAGCTTTCTTGAGCTGATGCAACCTCATGTTACCAAATAAGCCTACTAGCAAGGTAGAATTTTTTAAACTGTTTAGGTTGACAAATAAGGAGCTTATGTGAGAGGTACATAAAGGTAAACTCATAAAAATATTTTCTAGGGTCTTACTACGAATATTACTGAAATGATTGAAAAACTCTAATATGAACTCACTGACTATTCCAAACTCATAATGGCCATAATCTTGTACAATTTTCAGATGTGATTAACGATGTTTCAAAATCAGTAGAACAATTTAGGTAATTTTTAATAGAATATTATAGAAACACAATAAATAAAGCAAGGAAGACAATCTCAGAACAGACTGAATTTGGAGAACGTTCTCTAGCCATCCTTGAAAAGCAAAAGGGTAGGATTCTTTTAACCTTCTAGACATTCAAATGGATAAGATTGAGAGGTCCTTTACAAAAATACAACAACTGGTGAAGGAGAGAAAATCTGATTTAAAGAAATTCTACAACAATAGTTATAATGAGGAAAAATAAGAGAATATCAGATCAACTAAAAACGATAAAATAAAGACATAATTAAAATTGAGTCTATTGAAAAGACATGGGAGAAAGCAATCAGCATTATAAAATCCCGTTCAACTCTTTATCTGCTAAAACGCATTGATTATATTGGTAAAATGGCAAAAATAACGGTTTAGACGGGTTCATATCCTCCTATCATTCCTATATGGCAGGAATTTATAAAGGCCAAAATTTTGATCTTGATAATTTTAAACTGAATAATAAACTAAGATGAAAGGAGGTTCCCATTGAAGATATTAGTGCTGCAATAAAAAGAATTTGATTCTATTACAAGAAAAGTAGAATGGAGGATAATACATACTTCAATTCAAATGTGCCTGCAGGTACTATCTTGTTTTATATTTACAGATCCTATTGAGAAAGAAGCATTTCGATTGACAAAGTCTCCAAATTTAAAGACGAATCCTTTTGCTAAACCTCCTTTACATGTAAACTCAGACTCAGAGAGAGTAAAGAGTGATCTAAAGTATTTATACCGTACAAATAAAATACCCTCTCTAAAGCATAATAAGAAAGGACGGAATCAGGTTCAAAAATAGGAGTTCTCCTTTGATCATGAACGCTGGTAGAAAAATAAGCTCTGTGGGTGACTCTTCTAAAGAAGATGCAACAATTACAAGTAAATATGGTATTAATATAAATAATAGTGTTAGATAGATATAAATCTGTACAGAAGGGACCTGAATCTTTGGCTAATTCTTCAGATCATATGAGCACTAAAAAGTAATCCTCTACTTCATTCTTAGGTTTGCTTTAACTGATGTGAATAAGCAAAGAGTTCGTTCTGAGGACAAGTTAAAAATACCTCCTCCATCATTTTTGACAAATCCAGACCAAACAACAAAAGCTCTCCAATATTTAGTAAATATTTCTGATCGTTTGCAAACATTAAATGGAACTCTTGAGAAGATGAAGGAAGAAAATAATGCTCTAAAGTAAACTTGAAGAGCGAAAGAATCTAGAGAAAGGAGAGCTTCCAAAGTTAAAATCTGTGTCAGGGGACACACAAAAGCACGTTGTTAAGAAAAATAGCCAATTGAGATATCGGATAGATCGGTAATTACCTTGGTAATTCATAGGCCAAAACAAGGGAAACTACAGATCAAAAAGGTCGATGGTAATAAACTAAAATCTTCAGCTATGAAAGTGTCTGATATAGGAAAGAAATAAGCGTAATTAATCATAATTTTCAATTTTTAAGAATTGGAAGGGGTTTTGGGGTTTTGGGGTTTTGGGGTTTTGGGG